TTAAAAGGTTATTTTTTAAGTTTTAAATTTCTAAAGAAGAATTTTAAACCTTTTTTTTAAAAAAAAAAAAAAAAAAAAGAAAGAAAGAGCTCTTAGGTGTGCCAGTGACCACAGTACCTCAGGTTGTGAATGTTTTATGCTCTCCTTTTGGGATATCAATCACAGGACCCATAAGCAAAGAGTCAGTAAAGGAAAGAGAGTCTTCCAGGAATGAGACATCTGGTTCTTTGGCAGCCTACACAGACTTTATATTGCCAGCTTTAAATTGGACCTTTGAGTTTGCCACATGCTTTAACTGACGATGGGCTGTCTGGACTGCCATGTGTTCCTGGTTGCGGTAGCTTTGACATTTAATGTTTAGGCTTATTCCCCTCCCTTCTTTCTCTTGAGGATCTCCACATAGGTAAAGCTTCGCACTCAGCCCTAGTATTTAGGGCTTACAACATTGCTCTTCTAAGCCTCTAAATACGCATTTTTAATTGGTTTTCTAAGGACTGGGACAAATTTACAGTACTGCAAGAATTATGATCCTGAATATTCCTGTGCGTCACCTGCAGTTCTACGCTTGCAGACATTCAAAAGAAGCAATTAGAAGAAGATTTCCCAACCACAAGACCATTAGCACGTCCATTGACTGGTCAGAAACTTCTCGGTCGCTTACTGTACTAAACTGAGTCTGAAGTTTATGTAAGTGTTTCCAGCTTAGTGTTGGGCTCAGTTATCAGAAATCCATTACTAGAGGAAGTCAGCTGGAGGAATTGTGTTTGTCAGTTATTGAAATGAGGTCTAGGATCAAACTGGGCATGTTGTCTGAAACACAGAGTGTAAATAGTCCCATTTATGTATATCTTGATTCAAGGTGTTCTGCAAAGAAGACCCTTACTGCTTGTAAAAGTAGAAGAAGCTGCTGGTAGGGAGAAAAATAATTCTGATAGTTATCTGTTGGATATTAAACCCTAATAAAAACATAAAATTGCTTAGAAGGAACATCAGTAGTTTCCAGATTAAGTGAGCTAGGAGATAGAGGAATTGAGATAGTTCATTCTTAATCTCTTCCATTTGTGTATTGATTACAGCATCCTAGTACTGTTGCTCCTACATCTGACACTTCAAGCGAGGGTATGAATGACATACCTGCTCTGCTGAATGGTCTAGGGCCAATGTATCATCAGGCCTTCTGGAGTCATGGAGCCAGTTTTATTCATACTGATCTTAAGAATTAGTTGGTGTTTTGTTTTCTGCTCAGATGATGCAATCAAGAGAATATGTAGTCATCTGAAATGTCATGGAAAATGGGTCTCCACTGTCAACCTTTGTACTCAAACACAGCAGATAAATAGCCTAATGCTTTTGTTTTCCTTTGCTCATAAGTTTTTAAACTTCTTTTAGAGTCTGCACAAATTGTTTGAATACTCTAAGTCAGCAATGACTGGGAAAGTGGAAGAGCATCAGGCCAGAGGATTGCAGTTAGCACTCCTCTCTGACTCTGTGTGTTATTTATCGTGAGTGTTACTGACTTCTCCGGTACCCCAGAAAATGATTAAATGCCAGTATGTTACGCTGAGTGACAGTCAAGTGTTTTCGTACAAATACCTTCTAACCGTTACAGATAGACCACCTTCCCCCATTGTATTTTCTGTAACGATGTAAAACCTTCTGTTTTTACGCCAGTCCCTCTGACTGTCTGCCCACCTCTTTATGTCCAGATTCCCATTTTCTTCTGCTTCACTCCTGTTGCTGCTGAGCCCTGCCCCAGCCTCCATCTTCTGCAGTGTCCTCCCTGCTCTTGTGATAATGATGCTCCCACTTCTCTTCCAATTTAGTGCTCATTTAGAAATTGCTACTGCCCTTGAACCTTAGACCAGTGATGGGCCACACAATGGATTATGAATCTTTCATAATCTGATATAAAAACCATTGTAGTGTGATATTACTAAGTATGGTATTAAACTGATTTGAAAACCGTTAAAACAGTTTCACTTATAATATTGGTATCAAAGGGAGCGTAAATAAAAGGGCTTCTGCTTCTTCCCTTGTTTTCACTGTGAACAGCAGTGGGACAAGGGAAGTCAGCAGCTACTCTGCTCTTTAGAGGATGCCCAACGGCAAGTTTTAATGCTTAATGCTCATTAAGTGTGAGCATTAAGGAGACTTACAGCATCAGGAATCTCTTCACTTTCACATCCAAAGTGACAGCAAATGGCAAGCTAGCAGCCACCCTGCTCTGCTCCCTAAAACAGCCATGGATCCGGTGCGTTTCTGTATTTTACTGTATTTAGCTGGTCAAGTGTGATAGCACGGTCATTTACAGCAGTAATAACACAGCACCAGGATGCCACTTACTGCTGCGGCAAACTGTATCAAGCTCTAGCAGCTTACCAGGCCTCCTGAGGACAAATAGCACCCAAATATTCGTCTACCCCAGGGAATTAGGCATCTGTTCACTTTACTGAACGGATAGCCTCTTTGTTACACAGTTCATTCTCTTGGCAATTGACCTTCAGAATAAATGTGAAATGCAAACCTCGGAGCATATAAAGAGCCTCTAAAATGTATCAAATCATTTAGTAAAATCCATCACTTTTGGCTCAGACAAAGCACTTCCTAATTTAAGGCTGACATTTGTATGTTACTCAAAAATAGCTAAACATGAATACTGAAAAGAGGAAAGAAGCTAGAAGCATCAGAATTAGTAGTTAAACTTTTACAGCACTTAATTTTAAAAGTTAGGCTAATGGCATGAAATTCTAAAATCTGTAAGAGCAGAGAATTTATGGTTTTGCGAAAGACCTTTAGAAAGCTATGTTCATGCGTAGCTGGATCATTAAAATATTTTATGGAGAAGTTTTGAAGAAGAGTGCTTCGGTTTCATTGGCACTTGCTTAAAACTGTAATATTTCACATAAGAGTCTAATGTGGAACTGAGAAAGCTTATTTTACACATTTAAGTATGTACCGACTTTGATAGCATTCAGATCTCAACACTTGTGTAACGTAGTGCCCCTGTAGGCAGAAAACATCTGTCAAGTAGAGCTGGTAAAAACAAAAGTTACTCTGGGTGTTTTTTGATTAAATTGGCCTTAAACAGAATAGAAATTTCTGTGAGAGTTTTTCCATGCTTTCACTGACCCCAAAACAGAGACAGCAGAGGTATTTAAAATATATTTAATAAAAATATTCTGAAAGCTAAATATATTGACTTCCTTCTTACTATTTCACTGGAAATAAATAAATTTCCAGAGTAGTTATTGGCAAATCAGAATTTACCTCAATTATGACAAAAGTCTGAGGGTGAATCATAGAATCATAGAATTGTCAAGGTTGGAAAAGACCCTTAAGATCATTGAGTCCAACTGTCAACCTATCACTGCCAAGTCCACCACTAAACTGTGTCCTCAAGCACCATGTCTATCCATCTTTTAAATACCTCCAGGGATGGGGACTTGACCACTTCCCTGGGCAGCCTGTTGCAATGCTTGACCACCCTTTCAGTGAAGAAGTTTTTCCTAATATCCAACCTAAACCTCCCCTGGCACAGCTTGAGGCCGTTTCCTCTCGTCCTATCACTTGTTACTAGGGAGAAGAGACCGACCCCCACCTCGCTACAACCTCCTTTCAGGTAGTTGTACAGAGCAAGAAGGTCTCCCCTCAGCCTCCTCTTCTCCAAAGTAAACAACCCCAGCTCCCTCAGCCGCTCCTCAGAAGACTTGTGCTCTAGACCCTTCACCAACTTCGTTGCCCTCCTCTGGACACGCTCCAGCACCTTGATGTCCTTCTTGTAGTGAGGAGCCCAAAACTGAACACAGTACTCAAGGTGCGGCCTCACCAGTGCTGAGTACAGGGGCACGATCACCTCCCTGGTCCTGCTGGCCACACTATTCTCTCTCTTTCTCAAAGTGAAACTTCTCTCACCAGAAGGCAGGATGACTTGTAGCTCATGTGTTAATGACATGGATTTGAGTGAGGAAAAAAAGTTTTCTGCAAGTGGTAGCGTAGGCTATACATCCACACTCTCAAACACAGTGGTCTTCTGTAGGAAAAATGCCCTCCAGTAGTTACACTACTTTTGGTAAATTTAAAGTATGACTTTGGGTTAAGTTTGAACCTAAGCAAAGATCTACTTATAAGTCTTGGCATATTGAGTCAAAATAACCACCTGTTCAGGGTATGTCTGTGTTAGCAAGGAGTGCTATGTAGACATGCCGGTGAGACTGGATCAGCTGGTGCTGAGGACCAGACCTTCTCCACACTATATGAATCTGGTTGGGTTTTGCTTTGGATTGGCTGATCTGATCCCACGGGCTGAAAGCCCGTTTGTGGTTGGGGCAAATCACATGCACCCTGAGTACATCTCTGAGTTCATGTTCAATCCAGTTCATGCACCTTGAGACTGGTCCATCGTGTGACCCGCAGCCGGAGGCTGCTTCATAGTGTGAACCACACGTTGGTAAGAAGGGACACTCAGGCTTGAGTTGGAAGTGCACATCTGATCTGAAATAAAATGGTTTTGATGCTTCTGTCCCTCTCCAGCACTAAGTCCTAAAGAATAAAATGTCTGAAACACTGCAGCTGTTAAATAGCGTGCCTGCATGCAAAGGTTTCTTCCTAATCGCCATCATTTATCATTGATAGAGAGACTGAAATCTCTGACCTGTCTTGGAGGAGGATATGAAATTGTTCTATTTGTGATTAGTTGTTTTTGTAATTTGTGGGTATAATGGGGAGTAGCTTCTGTCCAGAGCGATCCATGATTCCTTTCTTTGTACATTTTCTAAAAGCTTTACTCAGCTGTTGGCTCCTTTTTCAGAAGAATACTTTTCCATTGTAATCAGATTTGTATTGCCTAAAAATGAAGTCACTGCCTGCTCTGTACCAGGAATGTATTTAAACTAGCAAAATTTTTCCTCTCCTTTGCTTTGTGGCCCAGACATGATAACTGTAGAAGCAAATGTAGTTAATATAAAGCATTGCCATATACGGCCTGTTTGTTGGGACCTGTATGATGAAAGATGTTGTGTCAGTAATTATCCGGATCACCTCAAATCACTGTCCTCAGAGGTTAGAAATCATCCGGCTGACTAACTACTGAAGCAGTTCAGGATCATTCATACCATTTCTTTTGTTAGCTGAGGACTGAAGTGGGTCATATTTAGTGAACAATATTTGTCCTTCAGTAAAAAATTATATTGGGGGAAGCAAAATGTTTATCTGTGTGTACCTGAGCCACCCATCTGAGTGGACCTTGGAGAAACACCCCGTCAGCCTTGGCCTGGGTGGCAGGTCTCGCGTGGCTGGGGAGAGCTGCACGGTCTGCTCAGGTCCGTGGCTGTGACCACGCCGCAGTGCCCACCCAGCACTGTCCGGCTGGGTGCTCTCTGCCTTCTCAGCTCCTGCCGTGAGACAGCTGTGCATCCCCATAAACCAGCCCCATATATGTTAGCTATGTACACACCACACCCAACACAAAAAAGAGCAAAGCGTGAACTCTCAGTATCCATTTTTTCCTTGAATTCACTTGAAAAAGGTGTCTTTTGAACACATCCTTTAGAGAAACCAAGATATCAGTAACAAGAAATACAAATTCTCCAGTAACAAAAGTGGTTAATACCAGGCTTTCACTTTTGAAGTTACTATAAATGGAATCGTATTACCATGAGGGGGCTTAAGAAATGAAAGGCAAGTCCCAACAGCCCTGGAGAGGGACTGAGGCTGGGCTGAAGATTTAAGAGAAGACACAAACTTGTCTGGCATTGGCAGCTTCCCTTGTAGTAAACCGAGCACAACTGTTCACAGCTTCTTGCTTGAGGGCAGAGGGGGAAAACCTCCCCTTACACACCACGCAGCATTATTCTCCACATTACGTCGGTTTTACGGTTTACTGAAAAAAAGTGAACAGATTCTGTGAGGGCAATTCAAAGGGCTTCAGCATCACACTGCTGTTCCTCGTCCGGGTGACACTGTACAACCGAGCGTCCGGCTGGCTGTCACCTACCGCAGACATGTCCTGCTGACTCTGGGCTAGAAGACTGGTCCAAAATAAACAGCTTTCCTTGAGATGCTTTGACAAAGACAACCACCTTCTGACCCATACTAACATTCAGAGACTCTCAAAGCAATTTTCTATTGCGTATGCCTTCCGGAAGCACATCAAGAGGTATTTAAGGAAATTAAAGTACTTGAGGCATTAAGGAAAGGAAAAGGAAAGTGTCCTGCTGTGGGCATCATGGCAGAAAGAGTTGCTGAAGGCAGGAAACTGGCTCTGACCAGGGCAAGTGGGACTACTGGGGATATCTGAGGCTCCTGCAGTATGGTCCTTCATACAGCGATGCTGGACACTTCACTAGACCTGTAGTGTGGTAGTCATTCATTTAATACTTATTTGTACTTTCAGTCATTCACTATGTGTTTCTTAATGTTCAAGACTGCACTCCTTGAGCTAAAATGCTACCAGAGTTTTCTATTTACAAAACCAAACAAAAAAATTCACTGCTTTTCTCCTTTTTCTTTCACTTTTTCAGCAGTTCCTTACTGTTGTGCTGAAAGTGCCTTACCCAGCTTCTACTTGACATCATTTTGATGTGAACATTTTAATCTGCTACTTCCTTGCGTTGTTCACTTTTACTGTGCACTCTTTCACAGTTGAGTGGCATTAAAGAGTTTGGAAATCTACTACTAAAAAAATATTTTCTCAATATTATTAATTTTAATATTTATTAATTTTAATATTTATATTGGCTCTATTTACAATATTAATAAGATTTAATAACATCATCTTTGTTGTTCCTATAAAAAGATAATAAAAAGCAGGTGATCTAACATCCTGCTGTAATTTATTTTCCTTTACAGCTTGCAAAGGTTTGTCCTTACCAGAAAGGGATTTAGAAAAGACTAGCTTGACTTTTAACCATTTTCACAAAATCGAAATGCTAAATGTGATAGATGAGCTACATGTGAACAATGAGGTCCAAAAGCAGACTTTATTTTGCTCTGGCAAATGGGCAGATCTGAACAGCTTTATTGTAGCACAATACAAGCAGTTTATGCCTGTATTAACAGACCATGTAAAATACGTAATTACAATGTTAAGCACAGCTATATGGATCTGTTAGGAACAGGCTAGAAAGTAATTTGGATTAGTCTGACATTCCTAATATAACCTAATCATCACTGATCACCACTGATCTTGCTACAGCCTCTTTTATGACGAGTCAGAAGACTGCTACTCCTTATTGCATGCAGACTGCATGAATATTGGTGACTCCCAGTCCTAGAGCCCCTTTCTGTCACAGAGGAAGAGAACAGCCTGTGAGAAGTTTCAAACTAAAATTGAACAGTGAAAATAAAAAAAATCCTTAAAATACACTGTACTTAGGGTGTTCCTGTGACGTGGTAAACTCCCTTCACTATGTCATTAAGATCAGGCATCTAAACAGGGGTTTTCACATGCTGCCTGATTTATATCCATGCTATTCTGGGCTACCGAGTCTTTCTGTTGGATTTAAAATAGAAAAGTTTTAATTTTCTCTCCATGCAGAATGGGAAAGTTTCTGGAATCCTCCATCATTTCCTGCTCACCCAAAATTGTTGGCATTGTCAAATGGTGTTTCAGGTGTAGACTATTATTCCAATGTGCTTCAGCTCAGTAAGCCGCCTGGTATCATGGGGAGAACCTCGGTGTTAGCAGCTTTGTTGGGTATTACATCTAACCTACCCTACAATCAGGATATTTTTAAGCAGAAGAAAAAAAAGGAAAGCCATCAGGACTGAAAATGTTGCTGTGAGGGCTGTACTGCAGAAAGATTTATTTGCCCATGCAAGGTAGGTATCTTTTAAATGAGTACCAATAATAAACTTAGGAATTGCAGGGCAATAAACAACCTGCAATAAACATTTTGCCCTAACATCTGCACATCACAGATGTCAGCAGATACGAAAACTCAAGACCAGATTCTCAGTTTATGCAAGCAGAAGTAACTCCATTGCCTTGAGTAAAACAATGTATATTAACAAACACGAACAAAAAAGAAAAGAACACCTAGTTCTTTTGGAAGATACTTTAAGAAGCAGTTTATTATTTAAATATGCAATATAAATCTTTCTCCTTACAGTCATAAACACAGATTTCCAAGAAGTTAAATATCAGCCTCACAACACAGCTGTAATAAATGGACTGCATTTATTCCCTGATGAAGTATGTTACCTCACTTTGGTTAGGTAAATAAACTCACCAAGACCTGTTAATTGATTCATTGCTTCTTAATCCTTGTTTGTCACCCTTATTTTAAAAATATACATTTATCTTGTGCTAATGAGGAACAGGAATAAAAGTCATTCTCAGCTGATTCAAGGAAGCGTGTCAGAATGTGCAGAGGGGTTAGGTTAGTGTGCAAAGCTCAAAATAAAATGCTCAATGCAGTCGTATCCTTGGAGTCAGAGAACAGCAAGTTTGGGTTCCTTAAAGGGAGGAAAAAGGCAGTAAAACAAATAGCCTGAAGGTAAAGCCGCCAGAGGAAGAGAATATAAAATAGCTTAAATATATTGTGCTCTATACTGTATCGGTTCTTCTGCAAATATATCACTGTGTAGATGATGGAGAGAGGACTTCCAGAGGGTGATTGATACCTTTAGCAGTCTGAATAGTCTTGAGATGCCCATTGCTCATTAGGGGCCATATAGGGTCAGGTGGCCTAGCACGATGTGGAATGGACCTGGGCCTGTGACACAGGTGCTGCGAGCACCTGCTAGAAGACAGCTATTCAAGAGGTGCTTTGCCAAGATACCTGCTTGAGGCCATTCTCTTTACAAAGCACTTCCTCTCAGCAATTCAGAATTCGGTTTTGTGGCTGGTCTATTCATGAACTCGTGTTGGTAGAAAGGGGCAACGTTTTCTTAGATACCTACAAACATCATCTCCCATGTATCTTCAGACGGTCGTGATACAACAAAATTAATCTGTCTATTCACAGCACTCTGCTAGAAGTTGCGGGAGTGTTACAGGACTGCTCAGGGAAGACTGTGGAGTTCGCCTCATTTTCAATTGTATTGAAAATACAACAAGCTACATAGGTGCAGTTAAGCTAAACATTATTATCTTAACCGCAAGCAGACTTACCACTTTTTTGCTTAGGGAAATCTTACTATGGCATCCTCCAAGGTCAGGATATTAGCAAACTAAGAGGCACAGAAGTTTCTGTAGGATTCCATGTTGTCCCACCCAAACAATTATTAATACAATAAAGAAGTAAATCCCAAGATTTTACCTCCATAATTATGCAACATATATCTCCAGTATTCCCTTAAGTCAGAAGTGGTTTTGCAGAGAACTGACACAGCATTAATCCAGTG